TGTAAAGTCAATAAAATAAAGATGGAAATAATAAATCTAAGGTAGAAACAAACGAACGCGAAAAATATTAATAAAAGAAAAGCAAAGCTACTCATTAGCTTACGTTCAAAAAACAAAACCCAAAGAGAAGAATGAAAGCAACTGGGGAATAAGGATCGGGGTACACAGGAATGAGGCACAGACGTTGGCTTCGATTTCTGCTGTCCTTGCCAGCACGATCTAGCGCATGTTCGCACAGTTTTCGCGCCCTTCCGAAAGATTCCTTTTCGCGACGAAACGTTGCATAGTCGAAAATTCAGCAGTTTTCCCCAAAATCATGCGCAAGATTTTTTGACGCGCATGTAAGTCTTTTAGCTACAACAAGTGAATCTGCCGAAAGCATAGTCCTTTCCCGGACACGCTTTCCACGATTCCGGACTCTCAGTTCATTTCGCTATTGAGATTTCCATGGAGGTCATGAATCTTTAAACAGAATCTTTAAATGGTTTTTCTCAAATACATGCCATCGAAGAAAAAATCCTATCACCCCATCGTACTGCTTCAGACCGAAAAGGTGAAACACCCCGATCGACTGCAATCAAATCCAGGTGTCACGCGCCTACGGGAGAGATAGAGCGGATTTCCTCCAGTCAAGCAGGAAGAAATCCTGATGTTCCACGCCACTGCAAATCATAGAAGGAGTCGTCTCTGATCGATTAGGATCGATTCCAAGCCTCTGGAGGAGATCGGCCAAATTGTTTCTAGTCCAGTGCGATCGATCACAAAGTTGCGTGTGTGCAAGACGGATCATCCTCGATAAATAGGAAACTGATCTATAAGTCTCACATTTGCAAGAAGGGTATCATCATCGCCCGAGTACCACCGATTCTCACGTGCGTGTTGAGAAGCAGCGTATGCAACCGATAAACTGTTCGCAGCACTGATTAGTGTTCACAAATCGGCACGCCGATTTGCCGCCCACGGCCGGATATTTTCTAATTACACCTCTGATTGAAGTGCATTCCTCCGCCACTACTAACTCAGCGTCCTGCTTTGCAGCCACTAGCACCTCCGCCAATTTACATGGCATGCTCACTCCAAAACTACGGGCTATTTCGCCCCAAGCTTTACTTTCCTCACCACAATTAACCGCCTCTTCTGTTACTTTGCCAGTTACCTCCTTCCACTCTCTTTGAAGCCCTTTTACTCCTTCAAAGCACTCCTCCAGCTTCATGGCCATTTGCTTACTTCACTTTAGTTTATATGCTACCTTTGCTTTTAGCTCCGTTATCAAAGTTTTCACCCGATTGTGGAGTTTACAGCACCCATGATTAACATAATTTCTTATCAATTCTCCTACCTCGATGTCCTCTGGATGCAACTGTTCCTCTCCTAGACTGAATATTTCCTCACCGTCCAAAATCGGCGCTTCCTTTTAAATTACCCTGACAACAATATTATTGTTATTCAGTGACTGTTACGCACCGCTGTACCTGCGGGCCCCTTTGCCGCTCTCCTTTCAGCGTCTCCCGTTACCTGCGGCTCCCCTCGCCGCGCTCCTCTCTCACCACTCACCCCGCACCCCACGCCGCGCTCTCCTCGTCCACTGAGTACTGGAAAATTTGGAATGCTACTAAATTGCTAATGAAAACAATGAAATTAACAACTTTTAAAAGGTTGAAGCAAGACGGGGTAAGACTTTTCTTACGGCCACTTGTGTAATTTGGTCGTGGTGTAGACCAACAAAGGAAAAACAGTCGAATTTTAATATTTGGCCAAACACCAAAAAAAGACATTTGGGTATCTCAGGTATGCAAACCGGTATTTAGAGTAGGCGACATCTGTGTTTCATCCCTGAACTGTAGACATAGACGGCTGAGTCGCTGCGAAATGGGGTGGGATTCATCAGTACAGTACCCCACTTCGCTATGTTGGAGGGGACACGTAAGTTTTGGTAAGAAAGATGAGAAGGAATTAAAAGTAAAGTTGTTTATAAAAATTGTAAATTTGGTCGGAAGATAAACTTACGTGCAAGAGGTATGTTTCTGTTTTTGATTTCTTCATCGGTGGTCCTCCAGATAGCGTCATGTGAACTGAAAACACCAGTCACATCTGTGCAAGCGTGTAGCAGTTGTGCATGCGGTCACGGAACTCGCGGCCCCCACGCTGCACCCTTTCACCTCGCAGCCGTGCCACTTTTTGCCCCTCTTGCAAAGGTCCGGCCAATCCGCCAATAGGGCGGATCACCGGCTCAGCCCCCACTTGTTGGGTTCATCGGTCCGGGCGCTCCAGTTGACTGGCCGGGTACTGCGACCTTCCAAGTGGTTCTTTGGCAATTAATTGGAGTTGCAACGGGGTGCTCGTCCTTCGTAAGTCGTGATGTTCGGCACACTACAGGAGAATGATCGATCATATTAGACGGGATTGACATTGGTCGACGCACTACGCGGGATAAAATACTACCTCCAATAAAGATACGGCGGTCCTATATAGGCCGCTTTCGCGCCAGTGCACGATCTATCTAGGAGGGGGTCATGATGCAACAAATTCTCTATTCTTTATTTTCTTACGTATTCCAAACTAGTATCTCAGAGCCCCTGTGCCGCTTCACGGTTCGCTCCTCCGTCTGTTTTGTATCGACAAACTGAGTTTGTTTTTCGACGCAACTGTAGCACATCAATGTTCACTTCCCTCGATCTCCCGGTAAACCAGGCTTGATTCTCAACGCAATTCCATCGTTTTTCTGTTCTCGATAATTCCGGTTCATTTCACGGCATAACTGCATCGTTCCGCTGCTCGCTTCCCTTTCTTAATACATTCAGTTGGTTGCTCGGCGCAGCTACACCACTTCACTGTTCGTTTTTCCACTTCTTCTCCTATGCTCCGAATCGACTGCATCGGCGTTCACAGTTCTTCCTCTTCACTTACTGCCTTTAGAATTAACGTTTACACCTGATTTTTTTGAAAATCAATGTTTGCGTTTGATAAAGATGCCTGGAAGAAAAAATGTAAATTTTCTGACGAGAAATGATTTCCATAACCGGACGGGTTAAAAAACTAAAGTCTAGTCATATTCTCTGTGCATGTTCGAGCTAAAAATTTCAAACTTCACTTTCACACTCACTCACAGCACGCATACGAGAATGTCAAAGTTCACCGCCAGCGCCGTGCCAACT